TTCATCTAAAATTGCAAAATAGTTAAATAAAAACTAGTAAGGAGAGGGTTATACCAACAATGAAGCTAGAAATCACCTCCAACTAGCCTCCAAGAACATGAACTCCAAAGGTGCTTCAAGGAGTAACAATGGAGGAAATTCAAAATATTTTTTTTTTAATTTTTGATGGTGGAAAATGAAAATTGTTGATGAATTTGATGTTTTGAGAAGGAAATTTGCAGGATTTAAGATGAATAAGGAGGACTTTGGTGAGATTTTGGGTAGTTAGGGTTTGGGTTTTGGGGTTTTTGAGAGAGTGAGAATAAGAGAGTTGAATAGAGTGAGAAATGAGTGTGAGGGAAGGCACGGTGCTGTTATTTGCGAATAAAGGGGGGACAATACCCAGAGGGTCGCGCCCGTGGCTGGGGGGTCGCGCCCGCGGGTCTTAAAGATGCCGCGCCCGCGGGCTGATGAGCCGCGCCTTCTCCAGGGGCGCGGCCAGGCATCTACCGAAATAATTCTGTTCTTGATCTTCCACCAGCCGCGCCCTCTACATCACAAGCCGCGCCTGCGGGCTCCTGGAGTGGGCTCTCCTTGGGCGCGGCTTCACTCCTCCTTTGCACATTGAATTTTTTTTTTCTTTTTTTTTTCTTTCTTGCTTTCTTAATTCAAACATAGCTCAATAAATACCATCATATGACCTCCGATTTCCAACCATACATGCACCATTGGGCAAGTACCTATAAGTAAAAAAATTAAAAAACCATAAGACAAAAGACAAAACAACCAAAACGACAAAAAGTAAGAAAAATAGAGAAGAAAAGAGTTAAGGATCCGGGTTGCCTCCCGGAAGCGCTTTTGGTTAACGTGTTAGCTCGACGTTCCTTGAGTTAATCAAGGAGGGTCAAACTGACGATCCACATCAAGAAGAGTCACATAAATTGGTTCATCACATGGGAATCCTTCATAGTAGGGCTTGAGCCGGTGACCGTACACTTTGAATGGAGTATGCCCGTCTTGGGAAATCTCATAAGCGCCATACGGAAACACCTCCGTAATAATGTACGGCCCACTCCACCTTGACTTAAGCTTGCCCGGGAAAAGCTTCAAACGGGAGTTGAATAGGAGGACTTTTTGGCCTTTGACAAATTCATTCTTGACAATTTGAGCATCGTGCCAAGCCTTATTCCGCGCCTTGTACATACTTGCGTTATCGTAAGCATTCATCCTCAACTCCTCTAACTCATGTAGCTCGAGAATCCTTTGTTCACCCGCACTATGGAGGTCAAAGTTGATTTGCTTGATCGCCCAATGGGTTCGATGCTCCATCTCTACGGGCAAGTGACAATTTTTCCCATAAACAAGCTTATAGGGAGTGGTCCCTATTGGAGTTTTGAAGGCGGTCCTATACGCCCATAGAGAGTCGATGAGCTTAGAAGACCAATCCTTTCTTGTTCTAGCAACCGTATTCTCAAAGATCACCTTGAGTTCCTTATTGGTGATCTCCGCTTGACCACTCGTTTGAGGGTGGTAAGCAAGCCCCCGCTTATGAGACACTCCATATTTATCAATCAGTCGAACGAAGGTGTGGTGCTGGAAATGTGACCCCCCATCGCTAATTATGCCTCTTGGAACACCAAATCTCAGGAAAATCACCTTTTTGAAAAGATGGACCACCACCTTAGAATCATTCGTTGAAGAAGCTACGGCCTCCGCCCACTTAGACACATAGTCAACGGCAACCAAAATATACTTGTTCCCATGTGAAGAAATAAAAGGGCCCATGAAATCTATAGCCCACACATCAAAAACTTCAAGCTCAAGGATGGGGTTTTGCGGCATTTCATCCCTCCTAGAAATATTCCCTATCCTTTGACATCTATCACAAGTCTTAACAAAATCCAAGCATCCATGAATAGAGAAGGCCAAAAGAGCATAGATTGTAGAACCTTTGAGGCGGTCATTTGAGCACTTATATGCCCACCACAATGAGAAGAGTGACACATATGGAGAACACTTTGAACCTCATCGTTGGGGACACATCTCCTTAACAAACCATCGACCCCTCTCTTCAATAAAATGGGATCATCCCAAATGTATCTCTTGGCCTCATGCTTGAGTTTTCGACGTTGTTGTGAAGTGAAATCCAGAGTACGACACTACAAGCCAAGTAATTCACAATATCCGCATACCATGGCTCCGACTTCACGTCAAGGACATATAGCACATCATCCCTTAGAGCATTCTCTATTGGCAAACCATCATCTTCAAACCTTGCGCCGCCCAACCTTGAAAGGTGATCCGCCACCACATTCTCGGCTCCCTTCTTGTCTCTCATCTCATAATCGAAGTCTTGGAGGACTAAAACCCATCTCAACAACCTCGGTTTAGCTTCCTTCTTTCCTATAAAATATTTAAGAGTCGAGTGGTTGGTATACACAAATGTCCTAGAACCAATGAGGTAAGTTCTAAACTTCTCAAATGAGTGAATAACCACTAGGAACTACTTCTCAGTAGTTGTGTATTTTCGTTGGGCATCATTGAGAGTTTTAGACAAATAATGTATGACATGAAGTTTCCCATCCTTTCGTTGCCCAAGAACCGATCCAATGGCCTCGTCGCTTGCATCGCACATGAGCTCAAATGGAAGAGACCAATCCGGACCTTGGACAATAGGAGCGGTGCAAAGGGCTTCTTTCAACCTACAAAAAGACTCTTGACAAGCATCATCAAACACAAACTCCTTATCTTGTTGCAATAGGGATGTGAGAGGCTTAGAAATCATTGAAAAATCTTTTATAAAGCGCCGATAGAACCCGGCATGGCCAAGAAAGGATCTCACTTCCCTCACGTTGGTGGGGGGAGGAAGTTTTTCAATGACCTCTACCTTGGCTCTATCTACCTCAATGCCGGCATGGGAAATTTTGTGCCCAAGAACAATCCCACTTTCCACCACAAAGTGGCACTTTTCCCAATTCAACACGAGGTTGGCCCTCACACATCTTTCTAAGCAACGAGATAAATTGGATAGACAATATTCATAGGTGGCTCCTCCAACAGAGAAGTCATCCATGAAGACTTCTATCTCATCCTCAATCATATCACTAAAAATTGACATCATGCAACGTTGGAATGTTGCAGGGGCATTACAAAGCCCGAAAGGCATCCTACGATACGCATAAGTACCGTAGGGGCATGTGAAAGTCGTCTTCTCTTGATCCTTGGGGTCAATCTGGATTTGGAAAAATCCCGAGTAACCATCAAGGAAACAATAGAAGGAATGCTTTGTAAGCCTTTCCAACATTTGATCCATGAACGGTAGTGGAAAATGATCTTTGCATGTAATTGTTTTAAGTTGGCGATAGTCAATACACATGCGCCAACCGGTAACAAGCCTAGTAGGAACTAGTTGATCATGATCATTTTTAACTACTGTCATGCCCTCTTTCTTAGGCACAGCTTACACAGGAGATACCCATTCACTATGAGCAATTGGGTAAATAATTCCTGCATCAAGAAGCTTAGCCACTTCCTTCCGCACAACCTCTTGCATGGAAGGGTTAAGCTTTCTTTGCCTTTGTCTAACGGGTTTGGCATCTCCCTCTAGATCAATTTTTTGCATGCATAAATATGGACTTATACCTTTGATATCATAAATGGTATAACCCAAAGCTTTCTTGTGTTTTCTCAAAAGATTGATCAAGAGGGAGGTTTGCTCCTTCGTTAGGTTAGAATTGACAATCACGGGGAAAGACTCATCGAGACCAAGAAATGCATGCCTCAAGCCCAAAGGTAGAGGTTTCAAGTCTACCTTTAGTGCTCCCTTACCATTGGGGCTCTCTTCTCTTTCTTCAACTTGAAAGAGGTCATGAATGTAAGGAGCCTCCTCTTCCATGCTCGCATCCTTGCACTCCTTCTTGCTTTCCTCAAGCAAATCCTCATTGAATTGTATGTCTTCTTTGTGAGTACCTATCTTTGATTCATTCAACAAAACACTTTCGAGAGGATCATTAGTAGCATGCAAGTGGGATCGAGAAAATTCATTAAGCACGGTATCAAGAACATCTACTCTAAATCATTCACCACTTGAGGAGGGTTGTTGCATGACATTATTCAAATCAAACTCAATGGAATCATTGTCAATTTTCAAGGATATCTTACCCTCCTTCACATCGATGATAGCTCTAGAAGTAGCTAGAAATGGTCTACCCAAAATTATAAGAATCCTCTCATCCTCATCCATCTCTAGCATATAGAAATCCACGGGAAATGTGAACTTTCCTACTCTAAGGGGAATGTTCTCAACCTTGCCCATGGGGAACTTAATGGAACGATCTGCTAGTTGGAGAGTAATGTTAGTGGGGGGAGAGGGTTCCTACACTAAGCTTTTGGTAGACGAAATAGGGCATGAGACTCACACTTGCTCCTAAATCACACAAGGCTTTATCAAATTCAATGCCATTAATAGAACAAGGGATGGAAAAGTTACCCGGATCTTTCAATTTGATAGGAAGTTTTTTGGAAAGAATTGCACTACAATTGGCAGTCAAACTCACCGTCTCACACTCCCTTCTCCCACTTAAAAGATCTTTCAAGAATTTGGAATAGTGGGGCATTTGCTTCATAGCATCATCAAAAGGGACGGAAATATGCAAATTCTTAATGACTTCTAAAAACTTCCCAAATTGGGCATCAAGTTTAGCTCTCACAAATCGTTGTGGAAAGGGTAGCTTTTCCTCTCTAGGTTGGCGATTTAGGGGCAAGGGGGTGGCTTCTTTTTTCTTTGGCACCTCAACAACTTTTTCCTTTTCAACACTCAATGGCTCATTGGTTTTTTCACCCTTATTCTCTAACTCCACCTCTTCTTGGGGTTCTTCCTCAACTAAAGGGTCGCTCCCTACTACCTTCCCACTCCTAATTGTCACGGCATATAAAGGTTTTGGGTTGACTCCTTGACTTGGAATGTGGGAAGAAGAAGAAGAAGAAGAAGAAGAAGAAGAATTAGACGCAAGTTGAGCAATTTAGGTCTCAAGCATTTTCATGTGAGCATTGGTGCATTTTTGGGCCTCTTCAAGTTTCTTTTGATCCTCCTCACGCATTTTCAATAGAGCATCTAATTTAGCCATCACGGGATCATTTGGAGGGGCTTCAAGTTGAAGAGGTTGTTGAGGTGGAGGAAGTTGGGGTTGATGGAAACCCGGAGGCCTATTAGTTTGGGCATAGTTAGAAACGTATTGACCCCTATTGCCTCCGAAGCCTTGGTTAGGAACGTTGCTTTGTTGATTATTTCCCATGTTACCTTGATCACCAAAATTTTGATTTTGATGGTCATGGTATCGGGAATAAGGTTGTTGGTTTTGATTACCATACCCCGTTTGGTTAGAGTAGCCTCTTCCATTGAAATTGGAAGGGCCTCCCCCACCATGGCATTGGTTATCATAACCACCACCACTTTGGTTCCAACCACGGTTTCCACCTTGATTCCAATTCCCCATTTGATTAAAGTTTGGCCTTAAGTTCCCTACATTCCCCATTCTAGGAGCAAAATTCATACCAAAACCAAACCCGGTGATGAGTACCTTCCACGTCGAATCATAATCGAATGAAGTGAAAGTGTGGAAAGTCTAGTGTTGCGGATAGTTTTAAATTCTTTTCTTTTCTCTCTGTTTTTGAAAACCTATTTTTAGAAAACAGTCAAACCAGTTTGGTTGGTCCATTATATGGGTCCAATAGTAGTTTAGTTGGATGGGGCTTGAAAAGAGCTTTCCAACGATATATTATAAGCCCAATTCCGATGAATATTGAGGAAGTTATGGCCAGATTACTAAACTGGGCCCGGTTTAACATTATATGCGGCCCAATGATCTAGGGGAGGGCCTAATATGGATTTATCATTCCTAATGCAATTAGGAATGGTTTTAGTTTTCTAGATTCTTCTATAAGGTTCTTTTCATTCCTAATTCAATTAGCATTGATAAATTGACTTTTGTTGACTTTTTAGAGTTTTAAGCAGAATAAAAGAGTGTTTTTGAAGAAAATACGATTTTATCCTCCTGTACGATCAATTTCTATCTGATTTTAGAAAACGCGTCAAAAACTTGGTTGGCGCCTAACGTCAGCATTAGCGTCTGGCGATAATGTCAGCGTCTGGCGCTAATTCTGTTTTTGCACGTCAGAACTCTGGTTCGATTTTCTATCTTTTTGGCTGATTTTCTCTATAAATAGCCTTTTAAAAACTCCGTTTTCAATCATCTAGAATCATCAACTCTCTAATTCCTTCTCTCTCTAAGTTAAAGCTTCTCTCTCTCATTTCTAAACTTACCCCCTTTTTACACAATTCCGCACTCACAAGACCTAGATACACCTAACATTATTCGAAATTGCCTTCGCCCTAGACGTAAAAGGTTTTAATTTATGAGGTTTTGGTCTCAAATTTCTATTTCAATTATTTAATTTAATTGTTGTTTATTATTTTCCTTGAAGCTACTAACGCGTGTATTTTGTTATTAGAAAGAGGTACGAGGCATCCAAGTAAGTGCTTTAATTGTTTGCATTAATATTATGATATAGAAATCATATTTAGATTTTTATTTTGATTCCTAGTATCATGTTAGGATGTTTTATTGATTCCTAGTATCATGTTTAAGGTAACAACTATAATTCTAATATCAAATATGACAATTATGATTCTTGCGATGCTTCCTATTTTCTTTCCTAATATTCATGTTAGTATCATGTAAGGGCTAAAGCTTTGATTTTTATTGCTTAGTGACATGCTAGGGTTTGTTATTAATCTTGTTAGTATCATGACTAGGATCTTGCTATTAATATTATGTTTTAATTATTATGGTTATTATAATTGTTATAATGAATGTTATGATTATTATTATGTTGATTGATATTATTTATTGTTATTGCTTGATCACGCCTTTTATGCATGTTTAAAGGGAATTTGTATTTGTAATCACGCTTAATAAGATAATTAATAATATTGTTTAGGGTTAATTATGATTATAATTCAAGTGATCGCCAATAATAGTTTTATTAATGCATTAATATTTAACCAACATAGATAAACATGTTTAGGGTTAATCCTATTGATTGCATGTTAGTCAGAAAGTGCACATGAATACGATCAGAAAAAAGTAGAGGTCTATTATTTGGGCAGGTTCAATCTCTTTTAGGTTGGATTTGTAGCTTCAACCCCGAACTACCAGTCATGGTTCAAGACCTATTGGAGTTGACAATCTCTTGGATCGTTAAGGGGTGTAACCTTCACCCTGTGAATGGTTTACAAGTTCCTAAAACTTGTTGGCAACTTTTTTGCTCTATCTTCTTTCCCTTTGGACGCCACCGTACTTTAGTGTATGATCACAGTGGGGTTCAAGCTAGGGATAATGCTTGAAATATTCCCTACAGTTTTTGGCGACTCCACTAGGGAGGATTTCTATTTTAATTCCTAAAATTTATTTCGGCAATGATTTAGAATGAGTGGGTGAGACTCGAAAAGTTCTAAGTATTTCATGTGCGTAATTTTGATTAACATTATTGTCGTATGCATACAAAAAGATCTCATTGGAAAGACCATCCGTAATGAGTTAAAACATAGGATTTTTACACGTAGGAAATTTGAGGAATATCTTTCACAACTAGGTTCGAAATAATGCTGCGCGAAACTGAAAAATTTTATCGAGCATAGAAAGCTGCTGAGGCATGTAGGAACTAGCGTCAGCGAAAAAAGACTAGCACCAACATTTTGACTTTAGCGCCAGGCGCTAAAGCCAAAAGGCAGTGCTGGACTCTGTTTGCTGGCGCCAAGTTCTTCCAATATCGAGTCAGAAATATGCGTTCTAATTTTGACCAGTTTCTAGCACTGTTTACTTGATCCTACATCCTGATTGAGTTTTTCTCACTTTTCTGAAACCCATATGTGTTCTACATATGGACATAACCCTCTGGGAATTCATGCTCCATCCACCTGATTGAACTCTCTGTGCAACAAAGGGTACATCCGAGAATGTTGAATTCACCAAACCATGGAAGCGAGTTTTTTCTTAACTCGCGGTGTCCCATCCACTCGCGCCAGCCCTTCACGGTTAGGCTTCCGCGCGGCGCATCTGGAAAATTAACCGTGGACCCTCTTTGACTAACCCATATCCCGAACTTTAGAGAACTAGAGCCATGGTTAGGTTGCAAACTCATTGCATCATATTGTGCCTACTTGTGCATCTCTTACTTGTGCATACTTATTATGTGACTAAACTAACCGTTTGGTTTGACCTGTGATTGAGCCTAAATAAACTAATTAATGACTAAAGGACTTTGTTCAATTAATTAATTAATTAATTAGAGCTAAAAAATATACCTAAAATCGAGTCATAGTTCCTTTAAGTCAACCCGGATTTTTATTCCCGTATACTGCACAAGCGTCAACTTGTTTTGGTTATAGCCGGAGTTCTAGGAAGAACTGCGAGTCTTACAAAATATGGATCTGTAGCACCGAGTTGTATCTTTAATTTGGCGTTGGTTTAATCCCAATCAGAATCACAGATCAAAAGTTATGACTAAAATACCACAGCCTGTCCAGTTTAATGCATATACGTGAGGTCTTAACTTAGTCTTTGTTCGAGTCTAGTCACATAGTCTAGCCACATGGTCATGTCACGAGTCTTAGCACACACTTTGTGTATATGTCACCATGATCCTGTCTTAGTTTCATGCATGAGTCGGTTTTTTCCGTTATTTGAGTTGGGGGTACATTCTATTCCTAATCTTTTCATATTTGTTCCTCTACATTATCTTTCTTCACATCACAACCTTCATTCTTCCTACCTTCTTCCATCTATGCATGTTGAATAGAGTTGAGTCAAATAATTAACAAGGAATATCCCTAATTTTCCTTTTCCACAGTACTTGGTCGAGGAGAGAAGGGCGATTAATCAAGGACAACACCTTTGTTCAAGTCTTACGTTTTGATAAACCGATTCGTCAAAAGAGGAAAACTAAGAAGATAATGGCAACTCAAGAAGAAGTCAACGAACTTAGGAATCAATTGATTACCGTGAATGAAGCATTGAAAGCTTTAACCCTCAAAATTGATGACCTTGTGAAGCAACAACAAATGAACCTTATGCAAGAAAGCTTGAGCAAGCTATCTAGTGACTATAAGTTTCAGGGCATTAGTTCACAAGGGGTCTCGCTGGACAATGAACTTCTTCCGCATAAGTTCAATGCCAATGACATCCCAAAATTCAAGGCAACAGATAACCCTTACTTTCATCTAAGAGCTTTTGAAACTATAATGAACATTAAGGGGATTGATAAGAAAGTCTTTCATTCCTTGTTTTCTTTATCTCTTGAGACCGTTTGTCAACAATGGTTCTTTTCCCTTGACAAAGAGAAAACCTCAACTTGGGAGTCGATAACAAACGCTTTCATTGATAGATACAAGTGTAACATTCAAGTCGAAACCGATTATAGACAACTTAAAATGCTAAGACAAAAAGAGAATGAAGGCTTTACTTCTTTCTTCAATAAGTGGAGGGAAACATCCGCTAAGATGATTGAGGTGCCCTTCGAATAAGAATCTGTGAGGATGTTTATCAAGAATCTCCAAGAGAAGTATTCGAAGCATTTAAAATATCAACATAACTTGAATACTTTCAAAGCCGTTTATGACATCGGAATTGAAATTGAAGATGATCTCACAAAACAAAAAGCTACTAACAATAGTAACCACAGTGGCTGGAAAGGAAAGAAGAACGACAATCCTTCTTCTTCCGAAAACGCCCACTCTAGTAATAATGTTAGTACCTTTGACCATAATGGTATCTTAGCCATGGAAAATCAAGGATCTAAAAGGAAACCCAGGAGAGAGTTCACACCCATTGGAATGACCTATGATGCTGCTTTTGATCGTCTCTATGACCGAGGGTTAACCAAACCTATTGGCCCTACTGAGGATCCAATGCCAGAAAATCAATCTTCGACATGGAATCCCAACTCTTATTGTAAGTACCATCGAGGACGTGGTCATACTACTGATGAATGCTACAGGTTTCAAAATCTCATTCAAGATCTCATAGAAGCAAATAAGATCCCATTGCCTCTAGCTAACGAGAAGACTGGGTGATGATGAAGCAAACAACACAAGACAGAGGTGAGCTTCAATGACGAGATTTCATGACCTCTTTTTTCTATTTCTTTTTTTATTTACCATTTCCCCCAATAAGTCTAGCATAGACACCTTTCTTAGATTAATTTTGTAGAATCTTTCTTTTTCCCTTTTAATAAAATGAGTATTTATTTCCTTGCATATGATCATTTCATTATATTGCATTAATTAATAAAATAAAATAAAATCATTGTCGAATTAAGCACAAGGTATGCCAATGATTTGAGGCACCCCTTGTAGCCACATCATATTGCCTTTCACCCTTCTAATTTACAATCGTTTCTTCATAAACCACTTTGAGCCTTGTCTAGAACTTTCATTTTTCAACCCACATCTACCTAACCTTGAGATGGGATGGTGTGTAACATATGCAATTTTCAATTTCATAAAAATCTTGAGTGACTTCAAAAGATTAAAATAGCAAATAATAAGCAAAAAAAATAATAAATAAAAGTGTACAAAAGTGTAAGTGTTCCAATGTCTTTGACATGAACATGTCTTTGATATGAACACGTCTCAGATTGCGTCTCTTATCGAATTGCTCAGTACCGTGCCTGAGAAACATGAATGTCAAGTGAGTGATAGACCGCATGATCGGGATTGCCCACACTTATAAAAATGAAATACATGCTAAAGCAAAAGCGAGAGCTAAAAAAGAGTAGAAAACCTCAAGCATGAAATACAAATACTCAATAGCAAGGTTGCACACCTTGGGGGAGCTTATCAAGGGTCTTGAGCCTTTATCCCCTTCTTCTTCAACCTTTAGCCTAACCACGTTACAACCCTTCAAAAGACCTTTTGAGGTATACACACTTGTGCGAGGTTCGGCCAGAGCTACGTTCGGCCTGATTCCTAACGGATACGTAGGCAACCTCACATCGAGGTGCGACCGTAATAAAAATGCATTCATATTCATATTCATATTCATATTCATATTCACATTCACATTCACACATCATGGTCATATCAAGGGATCTCCAATGCTCATCCCTATTCACTTAGAGCTAGACTTGGGGGCTTGATCCTTACATCATTAGCTTACCTAACCTAAGAGCCACCACCATTTGACTCTTTTCAATATCATTTTCCACACACTTAGCCCTTGCGACCTAACATTAGTGTCACTTTCACACACCGCACAGATGCATGATCAAATATACTTCCCTTAGGAACCCTCACTACTACAAAAATGACCCAAGGAACTACTTCAAAGGCACCAGAAACATCACTAATCCGGTTTCTTAAATAATGAAACCATGCATGAGTATTATGTGGTTTCTTAGGTAATAATAAGAAACCAAATTTCACTAACATCCGGTTTCTTAGATTTTAACTATTATTTAATTTTAAAAATATAGAAACCTAGACTATTCTTATATTCTCATAGAAGATAGAATAGTAGAACCGCCGCCCTCCTATGCCTTTTAAAATTAACTGCACCCTTCATTCATTTGTAAAAAAAATTAAAAATAAAACTTCTCCGTTATTCTCACAAAGGCAAAAACCCAATCAATTCCTCATTTCGTCATTATTCCTTCACCTTCTCTACTAATTATAGATCTCCATACTATGTTTCATCTCTAATGATCTTTCTTTTTAGTTAAATATATAAGCACATGATCCTCTTGTTGCATAATTCGTCTTCTCGTCAATTTTCGGTAAGATCTCTTTCATTCTGTGAATTGGGTAAAAATAATTTTCCATAATTTGATTTTTTTCTGTTTATTTGCGTTTCCCATTTTTTAACTTAATACGAGTATGTGAAATTAGATTGATAAAAGTGAGGATTCAGAAATTCAATTATTTTGTTGAATAAAAAGCATTTGGGTATATGTGGATGATGGATAGGTCTGGTGGCGGCGGCACCATAAAAGTAGAGGAGCGAGATTGTCAGATTGATGCAGCGAAATGGGCAGTAAAGAGAAGAAATCCGGTAGTGGTGAGACTATTATGGGTAAATAAAAGCAAGCAGTTGAATGGATATTAATCGAAGAAGACATAGTACGGCAAAAAAATGAAAAAACGAGGAAAAGAGCATATTTTTGTGAGTTGTGACGACAAAAACAAGAACAAAGAAAAAAGATATTTGTGTGTATTGTAAAGAATTTAACTTCTGTAAAATATATGTATTGTACATCTGTATTCTATGTTAGTTCTTCGATACTTTTTTTTTTTTTTAATTTTTTTACAGTTTTAGGGATTAGATAGATTTGTATTTAATTATACAATATAAAGTTATCAATTTTGGAATTGGTGAGTTCTTTTAGGAATTATACGATAAGTTGAGCTTAATCGTGGCATTACAACTTTGATGTTGCGTTATTCTTATTTGAAAAATGATATACATAACCCTTAAGGCTACATATAAGTATTAAATTAATTTATGCGAGTTTTTGTCATGAATTTCTAATTTTATACAATTTCTAAAAGTATACTACCTCCAGCCCAATTTACTCGCAACAAAGGAATATTTTAAGTCTCACAAATAATACCCCTTTGTTGCGAGTAAATTGGACCGGAGGTAATATTTAATGCTTACATGTAGCCCTTCTACATATAACATTACCCTTCTTATTTTAGTTAATTATTTATTTTTTTTCAAAAAAGAGGCAAAGAAATTGGTCTTCTTTATAAATTGGTGTCTTAGCCTTTTACCAAAGAAACTAGTGGTCCAAAATATACGGTGCCTTTGCCTTAGTTAATTTATGTTTTTGGAAGGATCTAAGAGACCGGTTATAAGCCAGAACCAGTCTCTTTGGTTACTCTAAGGAACCAGGGAAAAAACACGGTCTCCTAACCTAAGAAACCTACTTCCTAGGCATCGGGCCTTTTCCGGTTTCTTAGACATATTTTACCCGGTTTCTTAGGCCATTTTTGTAGTAGTGCCTTTGTCATGAAATCTTAACATAATGCTGAAGTATGCCTTGTTATATCAACATCACTCGTCAATCAATCATCATTACATCACGAAGTATGAAGTGCTTAGCCTCCGTGCCTAAGCTACCTAAATACTTTCATTATCGAGTCATGTAGGATAGTCTATGATGTTACAATACTTGTACTGTGAGAGACAACGTTAACAGATTAAGCTCATTCAACATGCATCTTCAAAAAAAACTTCACTTCGATTCTTTTTCGTGTCTTTCTTTTTTCGGGATAAAGTCGGTACCCTCCACAAAAATGACGGAAATTTTTGTTTTTCTGCATTTTAAGTCATGTACATATCGAGTTTCATGAGTCAACACTACGCACACATGAGTCACATCGAGTCGAGTCAACCTCGAGTCAGTCAATCATAGTGAGTCAAGTTTATACCTTGAGTCATGTCAAGTAAATGAGTCAAGGAACACTAAGTCTTAGGTCAACCCTAAAGAAAGAAGGGCAAATTGCTATAGTCAAAGATATAAATGCAGGTGCATCCTAGCAAGTGAGGACACTCCCGGTTTTTTTTTTTTTTTTAAATAAACCGTGAACATGACACAAGAGATTCCTCCAAGATAAGAGGATTACATGGATCAGTAAATTAGAGATGAAGAGCTTTAATTTACAAAAGATTTGAGCGGATTTGGTCGAAAGGAAACGACCAAGCTCAAAGTTCGGAGCAAAACCAAGCAACAACGGCAGCAAGAGCAGAATAGGGAAGATCCGACTCTAGCACCAGACGACAAGGCTGTCACCTGGCGACAACATCTGTCGTCTGGCGACAAAGTTCAGCGCCTGGCGCTAGATCCCAGCGTTTGGTGACAGAGCCAATTCTTGGCGCCAGCGATATTTCAGCAGCGACAGAGCTCGAAGCCTCTCAGAACGGCTATTTCGACCTCATACAGCAATTTCGGGTTCCTTGGTACGCCAGTTAGCCCCTATAAGCAAATTGACATGATTAGTAGTCGGCTTGATTACAATCGTAGTAAGTGATTGACCTGACAAAAATCGTCTCACTTAGCTTAAGCGCCTAAAACACTGGCTCATTACAAGCACCAACGTAGCGGTTTAAAAGCAAGCACTTAAACGACAATATTCCTAAATATGGATTGTCGCACATTCTTCTTAAATGACAATATTTCCAAATACGGATTGTCGCCTTCTTAAACGACAATATTTCCAAATATGGATTGTCGTGCATTCTTCTTATACGACAATTTTTCCAAGATTGGATCGTCATCTCCAACTGACAATATTTCCAAAATATGGATTGTCGCGCATATTCTTCAAAGAAAATTTTTCCAAGATTGGATTGTCATCTCTGGAAAAGTTTCCAAGTGTGGATTGTCGTGCTCTTTCTCTATTTGGCAATTTTTTCCAAGTTCGGATTGTCATCTCTGGCAAGTTTTCCGAGATTGGATTGTCATACACATAGTTCCCTATGACAAAATTTCCCAAAGGATTGTTGTAGTTCTGTACTCATCATAAATTTTGGCAAAGGTTCCTCAACGTGGATTGTCATTCATTTCAGTAAGTGGCAAATTTTCCGAAGTGGATTGTCGGTCGACTCTTTTTTGCAAATGTTCCAAGACGCGGATTGTCAATTGTGGCAATGAAGAATTGACAACTTTCCCTAAATGGATTGTCATGCATCATACAAGAGTTGTGTTGGCAACTATTCCCAAAGAAAAGAGGATTGTCATCACGGCAAAAACACCGACATACTGGTTCACAAGCAGCAAAGCGCCGATGTAATGGCATAGCAGCATTAAGGATCAACAAGCAGTGATCTTTTCGAAGACTATCACAGTGTAAATTGGAGGCAGTTACAGGCATAGCAGTCTTCAGGCGGTATTCTCTAGCTTGCGGAAGATCATCACAACAAATCGGTTACTCCTTCAGAGACGTGTACTCGACGGTGCAAGATACGCGTTTCTTAACTCTCTTATCTGTTTTAACTAACGCTAGTTTGCAGGTATTGGCGTTACAAGAATGATTTAGGATCGCAGAACGTTCTGAATCATTCTCCGTCCCTATCGATACTTTGACTTTTGTTTTCAAAACTTGCGTTTCTCCAAACTCAGTCAAAGTGGGGGCTTCTGTAGACACCCATTTGTGTCTCCCCAAAACCAAACCCGGTGATGAGTACCTTTCACGTCGAATCATAATCGAATGAAGTGAAAGTGTGGAAAGTCTAGTGTCGCAGATAGTTTTAATTTCTTTTCTATTCTCTCTGTTTTGGAAAACCTATTTTAAGAAAATAGTCAATCCAGTTTGGTTGGTCAATGATATGGGTCCAATAGTAATGTAGTTGGATGGGGCTTGAAAAGAGCTTTCCAACGATATATTATAAGCCCAATTCTAATGAATATTGAGGAAGTTATGGCCAGATTACTAAACTGGGCCAAGTTTGAACATTATATGCGGCCCAATGATCTAGGGGAGGGCCTAATATGGATTTATCATTCCTAATGCAATTAGGAATGGTTTTAGTCTTCTAGATTCTTCTAGGTTCTTTTCATTCCTAATTCAATTAGCATTGATAAATTGACTTTTGTTGACTTTTTAGAGTTTTAATCAGAATAAAAGAGTGTTTTTGAGGAAAATACGATTTTATCCTCCTATACGGTTAATTTCTATCTGATTTTAGAAACGCGTCAAAAACTTGGTTAGCGCCTGGCGCTAAGCTTGGTGCCTGGCGCTAACATTAGCGCCTGGCGCTAATGTCAGCGTCTGGCGCTAACTCTGTTTTTTCACGTCAGAACTCTGGTTCGATTTTCTATCTTTTTGGCTGATTTTCTCTATAAATAGCCTCCTAAAAACTCCGTTTTCAATCATCTAGAATCATCAACTCTCTAATTCCTTCTCTCTCTAAGCTAAAGCTTCTCTCTCTATTTTCTAAACTTACCCCCTTTTTACACAATTCCGCACTCACAAGACCTAGATACACCTATCATTATTCGAAGTTGCCTTCGCCCTTGACGTGAAAGGTTTTAATTTCTGAGGGTTTGGTTCCAAATCTCTATTTCAATTATTTAATTTAATTGTTGTTTATTATTTTCCTTGAAGTTACTAAAGTGTGTATTTTGTTATTAGAAAGAGGTATGAGGCATCCAAGTAAGTGCTTTAATTGTTTGCATTAATATTATGATATAGAAATCATGTTTGGATTGTTATTTTGATTCCTAGTATCATGTTAGGATGTTTTATTGATTCCTATTATCATGTTTAGGGTAACAACTATAATTTCTAATATGAAATATGACAATTGTGATTCCTGCGGTGCTTCCTATTTTCTTTCCTAATATTCATGTTAGTATCATGTTAGGGCTAAAGCTTTGATTTTTATTGCTTAGTGACATGCTAGGGTTTGTTATAAATCTTGTTAGTATCATGCCTAGGATCTTGCTATTAATATTATGTTTTAATTATTATGGTTATTATAATTGTTATAATGAATGTTGTGATTATTATTATGTTGATTGATATTATTTATTGTTATTGCTTGATCACGCCTTTTATGCATGTTTAAAGGGAATTTGTTCTTGTAATCACGCTTAATAAGATAATTAAAATCTTGTTTAGGGTTAATTATGATTATCATTCAAGTGATCGCCAATAATAGTTTAATTTATGCATTAATATTCAACCAACATAGATAAACAGGTTTAGGGTTAATCCTATTGATTGCATGTTAGTCAGAAAGCGCACATGAATACAATCAAAATAAAGTAGAGGCCTATTATTAGGGCAGGTTCAATCTCTTTTAGGTTGGATTTGTACCTTCATCCCCGAACTACCAGTCATGGTTCAAGACCTATTGGAGTTGACGATCTCTTGGATCGTTAAGGGGTGTAACTTCACCCTGTGAACAGTTTACAAGTTCCTAAAACTTGTTGGTGACTCTTTTGCTCTATCTTCTTTCCCTTTGGACGCCACCGCACTTTAGTGTATGATCACAGTGGGGTTCAAGCTAGGGATAATGCTTGAAATATTCCCTACACATATTATCATCATGTTCATGGGGAAGGGGTTGAACTTCACAAGCATATACACAATGGGAGGTATCATGATCATAAGTTTCACAATTAGAACAAAACATGCATCCTTGGGGCATTGTATTGTAAGAAGAGGAGGAGGAAGTATATATACCATTGCCTCCCTTGGTTGAAGGGGAGGTATTACCATGAGGATTGGACCTTTCTTTCATCAATTCATCCATTTGCTTGGTCATTTTGGAGATTTGGGTAGAGTGGTTGTTGATTGCGTTGGCTTGCTCCAATGCATAAAAACCCTTTCTCCTTCATACCAATCATCATAGTGCTTTG